CGACAGAAACCAATCCAGTTGGCTCTCGGCTAGACTCAGGCTGTCGAAATCCGTCTTCCAGTAGTTTTAATCTGGCTGCAGTGCGTGGGACTGGTGAAGCGTCAGCTCTACGTTAGTAAAAAGAACTGAGTAGTCGTTTGCTGCCAGACGCTCCAGAATAAGAGTCATAAACAGGTTTTTAGAGCTAGGTAAACATCTAGTCCAAGTGCGATGGAGTTGAGTGCGCTGTTATACGCGCGGGTTGGCAAGTGTGTTGTGCTGCCCCAGTTTCAAATACCATATCAGCGAACTTTGCTTCGGCCTCACAGTAACCGGTGATAAGTTTGCCTTCAGACCACCGTATTCGAGGACAATTAATATCGTCTATGAGTAGAAACTGATGGCGACTCATGTGGGCGCGGAGATATGGCAGCCAAACCAGACAGGAGATGGTGACAGAATGTACCCACGAGCAGCTCTCCGCGGCTGAGGTGGATGGAGCACCATAAGTGTTCACATAAACCATCTTCGCTTCGGTGGGCACTCACGAGTCTCCCATACAGAGAAGACCGGATGTAGAGCAGTATGTCACCGCGGGCATTCGATAGCCGATCACAGCGGAAACAAGAGTAGTCACCAATCACACCTTCCTGTGTATCTCATTATTCAACCACGTCTCTGCAAGTCCCATTACATCTGCAGATGTTGGCAAAGGTCACACTTAGGCTGTGGCAAGAGCCACCGGGCGTGGCTGAAGAATGAGCGACCGGGTTTTCCGAATTCGCGTTCGTGTTGTAATTCTCCGAAAATTCACAAGACGTATGTCATCTTAAATACGTAAATTTGTTTCTCCCTCACCAGTTCGCCGCTTTAGCTCGATGATGGCACACATAAGGCGCTCGCGATAAGTTTTGAATCGCTTCAAGTGTTCAATCGGCCGGCCTGCATTCTTTAGCTTCTCTGGGCGGATCAAGTGTGACGATTCAGGGAACGCAGTTGGGTTCTCAGAGCGCACAAGCAAACGATGAAGACCAGTTGAACTTGAAATTAAAATGTTCGGCCCATCGATGTAACCACCTTCGCAGGTTAGCGATCCCTGAACCATCCGCTTCGCAAATATTCTCAATGACACATGCCTCCTGTATCCGGTGTATCGAGTGAACTGGAACAGCTCGCGAGTATCGTCAGACAGGCCAACGGCCTCCATTTCCGAATACCGCAGAGACCACTACGCTTCACGATAACTGTGCAGACATGGTTTGAGCTGCCGACTGACAAAACGGTGCAGTTCATTATGATCAATACTTCTGCGGCGACCAAACAGATCCAGTAGTAAGTGGAGATCCCAGCCTTCAGATTGTCAAGTAAGACCGCAGACCGACTATCCGGAAGTGATCATGACCTTCTGCATGAAGATCCAGTGTTGAACAATGCCTTTCGGTGAATCACCGCTGGGTGCATCCGCCAGGAAAGAATGACAACTCAGCCGAACTTTATAGTGCATCGTTTTCGGAGACCCTATGAAGCTCATGCAGATGTTCGCACAGATCAGCGCATGAGTTGAACCAAGAAACGTGAACAAGTGTGATCTGTACTCTCATGCACGTCTCCTCGCATGCCTAAAGCAGGTGCTCAAGAGGAACAGACGATTGTCCTTACACTGTGAAAAGTTTATCATACAGAGACCGTATGAAAACCAACGAGATAACGTTCAAATGGTGACAGACGACAGAGCAGTGCGTTCCCATCAAAAGCTGGCGAGTACATGAGAAAATTTGTCCATGACCGAACTACAACTGCAATCAGTTGGAGCAAACGTGGTAATCACAAACAAGTTGGATCTTTCCTCGCGGCGTCTGCTGAACCTGCATAAGACTCGACGCCGAATTGCACATAGTTGACTGTTAGTTGGGAACCAGACCAACATCTCGGAAACCACTTGGCTACTTGTTGCTACACCATCGCCAGCCAAACCTGCTGCGGGTATTTCCGCGTCCCCAGACAGACAGAGGTAAAATGCAGCTTCGTGACCGATGGTGAATGTCAACTGAATTACGGAACTAAAATACTGCAACCGTATGTCGCTCAATTTGGAGCACAAGCGTAGACGCTGACCACCCACTTGTCTGCGCCGACCTCCGGGCGCATTTCGGTGGACGTCCGCAACGTCGATGTGAACGGATTGACACCAGTCATTTTGTGAAGCTAGGTGTTCTGAAGGTGTATCAAAGTGCGCTGACATCCGGACTGAGTAAACGCCCACTGAACACCGTTGAAGATCACTGGTCGCATATTCGTCAAACGTTACTATCAGCGAGCATGTCCTTATGTGGCAAATTAAACTACCAAACTGGACATTGGGTCTCTAAAATCTCTGGAACTTATGAATGCATGTCGACGTATTCCGGCTGGAAGGAAATACAATGAGGCTCGCAAAAATCTCAGGGCAAAACTACGTGCTAGCCTGAAGAAAGACCGCGAAGCCTAGTGGTCTCATCGTGCATCGGAAATGGAAACAGCCGCTACTGTTGGTAATCATCGTAAGTTATTGCATCTGATACGGGAAACAGGCAGCAGGAGACCTGGTGTCAGCGAGACCATACGCGACGAGAGTGGGCAGCCGATCCACAGCCTGTCAAAACGCTTGGAACTTTGAGCCGAACAGTTTGCAAGGCAATTTAACCAACCTGAGTTATCGCTTTCTTCTTCGGGCATTGAGCGACCTTCTCTCCGGGCTGTCTCCTTAGATGCGCCCTCACGCGCAGAAGTCCAACATGAGATCAGGCTGTTGATACTGCATAAGACCGCAGCGGCAGATAGAATTCCCCCAGCCCTCTTCAAATACGGAGCACCTGCTTTAGTAGATCATTTACACGAGTTGCTAGTGAAACTTTGGGAGCAGGAGATTGTCCCAACCAACTGGATCCGCTTCGTCATTGTCCCAATTTTTAAGGGAGGCTCCCGTTCGGAAAGCGGCAATCACAGAGGGATGGGTCTGATCTCAATTGCCTCTAAATTGCTTGCCTCTGTCATTCCCCACAGACTGATTGGTACCCGCGAAAGCCAGATTCGTGAAGAGCAAGCCGGGTTTCGTCGATGTCGGGGCTGCATCGACCATATCTTCACCTTGCGTTAATTGTTAGAACACCGCCATGTTTATTGGCGACCCACCGTTATCGTGTTTCTTGACATAAAAGATGCCTTCCCCTCAGTCGATCGATGTGCCCTTTAGGACTGTCTACTGAGGAAAGGTGTGCCTGATAAATATGTAAACATTATCAAAGCGCTGTACGCGCATAGTTCGGGCAGGGTGAGGGTTTATGGCAAACTCTCGCCACCCTTCAGTATCACCAGCGGTGTGAGACAAGGTTGCCCGCTGTCACCTTTCCTCTTCAACTTCGCTATTGATGAAGTCATGGAAACAGCGTTCGCTGGACACGATCTAGTAGGTGTGGAGCTACTTTCTGGTGAAGGACTACTTGACTTGGAGTATGCGGACGATATTGCCCTGATCTGTGACAGCTCCCAAACGTGCCAGACAGCACTGGACCGATTAGCACTGGCTGTCAATCGTTTTGGGCTATGCTTTGCTCCATCGAAATGTAAAGTACTTCTCCAAGATTGACAGGGACCCAACCCTGCGCTAACGCTTCGTGGTGACCTGCTAGAAGTCGTTCATGGATTCAAGTACCTGGGCAGTTATATTAGCAACCGTGGGATCGAAGATGAGGCTACGAACCGTATAGCAAAAGCTCGAAGTGCTTTTGCCAATCTCCGACACCTGTGGCGCAGACGCGACATTACTCTCGCCCTCAAGGGCAGAGTTTACAACGCAGCCGCCCCTTCAACTCTCCTATGTGGTTGTGAAACCTGGCCCATCAAGTCGACAGACATAAAAAGCCTCGTCACATTCGATCATCGCTGCCTTCGCAGCTTAGCTCATGTCTGGTGGGAACACCGCGTGAGCAATGAGCGTGTTCGGCGTCGCGTATTTGGTGCAGGAAGAGCGAGTGAACCGCCCAGCACTATTATATCACGCACCAAGCTCCGATGGCTGAGCCACGTGTTGCACATGCCAGCACACCGATTTCCGCGAGTGCATTGTTTGCGCGTTGTGGGTGCGGTTGGAAGAGGAGGGAGGGGCAAGCGATGACTTGGTTGAGAGAAATGAAAACCCTCACTTCGAAGTTGGCGTCGGTTGGTGCATCCCGACTGCCTGGCTGGGGTCCTAAGGACGATGAACACTTTTAGTTGGACACTTGCTGATATGGCTTAGAGCTGGCCCCAGTGGCGTTTGTGTTGTGAGTTTTTTTTGTCCATCCCTTTCCTGCTTAGCCTCCCTGTCCAAGCGGGATCTCATTCGCTAGGCATAATATAACTGTCTTTTTGCGGTGCGATAGCCGGTGTTAGCTTTCCGGAACGATTTTCATCCGTTACTGGGGACCCAGCCGGTGTGCCATTGCTTTCTTCTTCTTCTTCTTGTCTTTTGTATTGCGGTATAATAGCTGAGGTATTTTCCACCTGCAGCAAAATTGTGTAATAATGATGATGATGATGACTGCAAGCGTATTACAGAAAGATAGTAAAGCTTTATGGCGAGCGAGTCCAAGGTACGCGCAGGACCCGTCTGTTGCGTGATCCGCATGAGTGCACGTACATTGAAGCACACAGACGGAACGAGGATCAAGCCCAAGAGGGGCCAGCTGTCGAGCTAAGGGCGTCGGCGAAACCACTGGGTATAAAATCATGGAAACCGGAAAGTAAGTAACGGAGCACGGCGATAGTTAACAAATAACAAGTGGTGGATGATGCATATGCAAGAGTGGCGGAATTAAGAGTAGCTAAGTGTGGTATAGCAGTTAGACGGTTTATAATGACGCCTTGTAACAGCTGTGTTTACATGTTTCATAGTAAGAACCAGCTAAGTGCGCTCACGTGGGAAAGGAAAACATCATAGCAGCAATGCGTCTCTTAAGCAAAATGCAATGACGGTGCTAAGCTTGAAAAATAAAAACGCTTACTCTGCATTCGTAGTGATGGAGGTAGTCTACAGGTGGACGAGCATCGGACGAAAGCAGTTCGTTGAAAAAACGTTTCAGCGCCAACAAGTAATTGTGAAAACGGAGTGAATCTGTCCTGTTTGCCGCCGCCATATCCTCCGTGCGGTGTAGCAGTCGGATAAAATTCATTTCAGCCATGCACATGATTTCAAGAACCACTAAATTAATAGAAGTGGATACATCAACGCTAGTGGGAGGATGGACGGATTATAGAATGCCTACTCGAAGGAGCTATCCAAAATTCAAAATATACACAAAACTACAACATGGAGTTAGAAAGTAGTCACAGAGAGTGCGACGTAGTGGAGGCAGAATTGAAGAGGAAGTGAAAACAAAAAAATAAAGAAGAATATTCGCGGGGCATATGGGGACTGAAGTATGAAAACGAAGACATTACAATATGGTAATTAACTAATATAAATTACTGATGAGTAAAAGGGTTCTTGAAGGTATTTTGCCAGTTCATTCCAGCTGCTCACAGGCTAGATTAGTTTAACCCAAGTCCGGATAGCACAAGAAGAGCGTTTCGTCCACTGGGGCATGCTAATGGTGCGCATACCCTCGGTCCCTCGTTGAGGATCGAACCCATGATCGCTAGCACCTGAGACCAACTATCAAGCAGCTTGCCACTGAGCCAGGAGGGATGGAGACAGACCGTCTGAACATGCAAGTTAAATTACCCGCATAACACGAGTGACTAAAAAGTGTCCGCTGGAGCTTCCTGAGTGACCAATTTTTGCACCCCTGGCCGTCACAATTAGATAGTTTTTGGACGACTTTTGGTCACTCAGAATGGTTAATTCAACGCACCCTTACCACATACTGGGAAGAGATCTTTTCCAGTTGCATATACGGTAAACATTAAGTGGAAATCGATTCCCAAATTGCAATTACACAATACTATAACCGTTAGGGCAAAACCGAGGTTTTTGAGTAACCGAAACTCGTAGCAAATGTGTCCAAGTGAGACGGCCAGGGACACAAAAACTGGTCATGCAGGGGGCTCAAATGGTCACACGCGTTGATTGAAAGTATGATGTCACTTCAAAGTAAAGCATTTTAGGCAAAGAACGGCGGTGCAAAGATGTATAACCATATTTAACAACGTATCTGGACGTACCACGCCGTTTATTAAATTTTTGCATCCGCGAGTGACCAAAAACACGCCCAAATGGGACGGTTGGCCGTCTATCTATGGGGACAGGGTAGTTGTCACAATTGTGACAAAAGGTATACCCCATAAAGGCTAGCGTGCTGTAAAAAGGCACTTCAATAACAATACACTGGGTAGTCATCGAAACACCACTAAAATAATTAATATAATGGTAGAGTGTGGCTAGTCATTAGGGTGGCGCGAGACCCGACGTGGACAGAAGTTGACTTGGTAGAGGGAAATGAAGTCACTGACGACCCAACCCGGAGCCCTCGATCCGTCTCGTCTTCTAGGCTGGAGTCCACGTGACTCGCCTTGTGCTTGGCGGGTCTCCTAGTCAGATTGCCAGTTTAAAGTGTGGTTGATGCTGCGTTATCTGCTGGATAATGGCTGATTATGACGCCGAGCAACGAAAGCCGCAAGGAAGCTGTCACGCGGATGCCGCCTTATCACTGCACAATAGCCCGCTGTTTGACAGTATGCTGCTGACAAAGGGTAGGCGCCTTGACCCGATTATTTGTTTAAGGCATTAAGGTTTTGCCACAAGTTCCCTTCCCTTACCCTTATTGTTCTTCGCTCCGTATGCTGTTATGGTTGTAAGGCAAGGAATCATCCGTTCAAGTGACTCGAGTACCAGTGTTGATGATGATGGTGATGATACGGTAAGTGAGAATCAAATCTCCTCGAATTCTCCGTCAGTGCATTGAGTACATCCCCAAAATTAGAAAAGGTTCGGGATACGTTTGTCCCCGTAAACCCTGCATTATATATATATATATATATATTATATATATATATATATATATATATATGGTTGGCGGCATCCGCTTTCGGATTTGCCTGTCACTGTGGCTAGCCACAGGACACCTGCGCCTACAGAGGGACCATGGGTGGCTTGCGCTTCACCACCCACAGCTCCAACCACACACCACATATCCAGTGCAAACCCGAAGGAATAAGGCCGGGAGGCATGTGGATGGGAGCCACGTTTCACCAACAGATCCGGCCCACACTCTTTCACAGGCAAACACAAGCACACTGTACTTGGCAATCAAGCGCACACAATGCGGTGGCTGGACCGTAGTCCACTCCACACTGACTGCATGGAACCACTCCTCGAGCCTAACACGGCCACAAGGACCGTGCACCCTGTCCCCTCCAGCAACGACCAACTGTCTTCTGGAGCCAGTATGGACGAGGTAGTGGGTAATAGACAGGTAGGCACCTTGTCAACATGCACATCAAGCGCAGCCACACCGGGGATATCAAGCAACAGCCAATCATTTGAGAGAAAGCTAACAAAGAAAAGAAATCGAGTAATGCACAAGGAAATGTGACAAAAGTCTCACATGAATGAGCATTTGAAATAAGTTGTTAACAAAGGATCCGAGATAAGCTCAGGGGGTCAGAGAGTATATTTTATGGAAATGACACAAACGCGATGTTATCGAAATTAACTACAATTGTCTTAAGCGAGTTGTGCAGGTTTATATAAGAGCGTTAAGGTGGACATTTATTTGAGAAAGAAAAGCATTAGGACAAAATTGAAAACCCACCACCTGAAATAAAAAGACTTAGCATGCAGGCACGCGGTTAGTAAATCGAATGCAGCATACCTACAAACGCTGCGCTGGTTTTGCTTACGTTCTCTGCAGGACCCGTCGTCGTTTCGGTAGTGGTCCCGAGTGGCCTCGCTCATGGACGGCTCACTAAGCCTGCCTGACTCAGGCACTCGCGACCGCATGTGCTACAGCACCATGCGCTTGATGTCGATGGAGAACAACCTATCGATGCTTGCCGCTTCTTCTCTGCATGCATGAGGGCTTTCTCCTGCACCTCGGCAACTGCCTTCCTGATCAGATCGCGCCATGCACGCCGATCAACCGTCTTTGATTCTCATGACCTGCAATCAAGATTAGAACGTAAGAGGCTCACTTTGATCATGTCCTGGTAACGTAACCGGTTTCCCCACGTGCCGCTTCCCAATACTCAGCTGACCGTATAAGAGTTGTTTCGGGATCCGCGTTGAATCCATAGGCTATACATGACCGAGCCACCTCAGGTGTCTCAATAAAGTATGCAGTCCACTGTATACATCCCACTTCGGTGCAACACCTGTGTCAGCAAGTCTGTCGCCCCAAGTGATGCGCAAAATCCGTCGCAAGCACTGCTGATGGAACCGCTCGAGATATCGCACATCCCGACGGTACATCGTCCACGTTTCACTACCGTATAAAAGAACGGACAGCACCATGGATTTGTACACCATCAGTTTCGTACCAATGGTAAGCTGGTGGTTGTTTTCCACTCGGTACTCTGGCTTCCCGAATTCCGCCGCTGCCTTCGACACGCGGATACGAAGCTCACTGTGTATCTGCTGATCAGTCGACATCACACTCCCAAGGTAGTAAAAGCGGGAGGTGGTTTCCAATACTTCAGCACCAATGCTGATTCGCGGCAATATTGAAGATTGCACCTCCGGTGAAGGCTGAGAGAAACAGACAGTTTTGCTTGTGAGCCCGAATTTGGCCGCTGTCGAAGCCAGAGCCCTAGTCATGTGCTGCAACTCATCCGCGCTGTGTGAAAACAACGCACAGTCATCAGCAAACAGCAACATACGGATAGTTGTCTCACAGACTAGAGTTCTCGCACCGAAACGGCGGATGTTCAGCAACCCACAATCAATACGGTGCTCCACACGAACACCGTAAGCACAAGCGGCATCAAAAGCACAAGACAACATTGCATGAAGATATATATTAAACAGGGCAGGAGCTAACACACAGCCTTACTTCACACCAGTGACAACTGCAAAGTCATCCGAAGTCTCTCCACTCAGCTGCACCCTCGCTCGCATACCACTGTGCAGACATTCCATTAAATTTACAAACTTACGCGGGCAACACCAACCATAATGCCTCGCGGTTCACCGTATAAAATGCCTTGGTGAAATCAACAAAAAGCGAGTACAATGGCTAGTGTCGTTCTCTGCACTTCTCCTGCAACTGACGAGCCGAAAACACACACACACACATATATATATATATATATATAGCCACTAATATGTCAGCATACGGATAGGCAAAGTCTAATCCATGAGTAACGGAGCCTATAAAGCGCAGAAACGTTTGCGCTGAGTTGCGTTAACTAAAAGGCAATCGTAAAATTCATAGAAACCGGAAGTGTATTAACGGCAATCTTTGCCACGTCTTTGTAGGCGACCGGGATTTGGTGGTAATCGCGCACCAGATTAATTTTCGAGAACACACAGGTGCCACGTACGCTAGCCGTTATATCCTGAACTTAAGGGAGAGGGCGTCGGTAGTTGCCACAAGGACACCAGTCTCCTGACTTCTTAGGCACCGCGAGAAACGGCGATGCTCAGGGGCTCAACGAAGGTCTAATGATGCCTTGTTCGAGAATGTGCTCTAATTCGGCTCTGGCGATTCGAATTTTTTCGGGTGTAGGTCGTCCGGCCTTCGCAAAAACAAGCAAAGCATCGCCGGCATCGGTTGCAGCCGGTGTCGGGGTAGAAGCATGAAATACCTGTAGGAAACTGTCTAGGAGCATTTGCTCGATGAACGGGCTCATCTAATTCGTGTACAGGGGACTGATTAACTCGGCGATATTGGTCAAGCGGTCGATAAAACGGTATCCTTTCATATCCATAAGCAGGTCAAAATGCTGCAGGAAGGCGAGACCGATGACTGGGGTCAGAATGTCAGCTACGAGAAACATCCACTCGAAGGATCGCCGTAAGTCAAGATTGAGTGCGCGCGAGGGTTGAACGTACACGCGAATGATGGCTCCGTTTGGTACGTGCAGCAAACTAGTCGCCTCCTTAATAAGGTCATTGGGATCACGTGTGAGAACGCTGACTTCTGCGTATTCCCGTCCCCCGAGCAGTGAAGAAAAAAGGTGACTACGGTGACTAGCAACGTCCGTTGCCCCTACGTGCTGGTCTGCCTGCTTCCCTGCTTGTTTTGCTTGAAGAAACAGGGCGGGC